TAAGAACATAATTATTCAAAAAAGTTTAAATGTGTTTAGTATATGCAAGGACATTTCTGATTTCTTATTGGAGATAAATTTTGCTTATTTTTTAAACTAATATTCCTTAAATTACTGCCATTCTACTTATCAAAGAAAAGAGGAGGGGGGTGGGGGGGAGGGGAAGAGAGAAAAAAGTGAAAAACGACAGAGCAGGCAACTATTTCAGTTATTTAGTTTTAGTTAAAATAATTCAAACCTTTTCTAGACTTAAAAAAAGCATTCATTTTGGTTTACGTTGTACCCCCGAAACCTACCTCTTCATTCAAAAGACACAGGCAGAACCCTTTTTGCTGTCTCAAGAGTTAGAGACAGCCAATTTTCGTATTATAACCCTTTAACAATCCTAGTGTACAAAAATACAGTTGCTCATTAAATTTTCTGTAGGAACGCATTAAAGATCACTTTACTAGTTAAATACTGGTAAGCTTATATTCAAATTTGTGAGTCAGGGATTAATCTCAAAACACAGAAAGAGTCTGCTTGTCTTATAATGTTTGAAGATATTTCTTTAATCATCGATGGTTCTCAGCCATGATTGATATTTTGCATGACTTAACCCTTTTATCTTCTGATTTTTCTCTTATTAATTTATCTTCTCTTCTAGGTAAAACAGTTTTATTTTTGAACTGTAAACTCTTCTGATTTATTCATTGATCTTGTTTGTGCTATAACAAAAGCTGGCAAACTCTTTTTTGTATTTGCTTTTGGATCCTTCTCTTTCCGGCTACTTGTCCTTGTAACCTATTCATGTCTTCAGTACTGGCCAACAATCCTCTGATCACCTATACTTTTGTCTTCAATGTAGTTAGATCATCCATGCTTGTAGCAGTTGAGTGGTTTTATTGTACCTGCTTTTTCGAGTTGCTTGTTAATTCTCAGAAGGATTATCTGCTCTGCCTCAAATAATCATGCAAATGCAATATAGGGCCAATATTAACTCTTGGATCTTGTAGCTTTTCTTGCTACACCATTCTAGGAGTAAATTTAAGTATTTAACTGATCAGTCCAATCTTTGTAGATGCAACTCCTCCCACATTTTGTCTGTCCCCTTTCTTTTAATCTTACCATCCCATGTTCAAACTCCCTATGTAAGCATGCATTCCTGTTCTAGTGTTCTTAGCCATAAGTATCTTATTTGTGCCAAATCATGTCATTATTAGCATTTTACATATTTCAACTTAAATTTCTAATGCAGTTGATACTGAAAATGAGAGTGAAACTTTTGAATCAAAGGGTGGTAAAGAGACAATTGACTTTAAGGAAGTTAAGCGCGTGGATCATATTCTTGCCTCCTTACAGCGAAAGGTAACTTATTATAATATAAAATTTTTCTTATGTTAATGTATTGATGCTAATTTGTAGAACTGTAGGATTCATAATCCAAGGGATTAAGAATCTTGGTTTGTGATTTTATTGCTTCATTGGCTACATGTCTCTCCTTTCCACTGATTTGACCTAGTTGCATCAAATTTATTCTGGTTTTCGAGTACCTAGGAAAATAGTCGAGTCATATGGAAACCGGCTGATAATTCATATATCACGATGTTCATGTTTAATGAAGAAATTGAGCACTGCCTCTTGATGTTTGAAGAGTTGTCAAAGTGATTTCTTCATGATTTTGAGGAGAAACTTTCTGTTCAAATTGCAGTTACCACCAGCTCCTCCACCACCCCCATTTCCCGAAGGCTTTATTCCCCCTGCAACAGCAGAAGCAGAGAAAGATCCAGAAAATCAGCAAGCCATAGAAACTCAACCTCCTGTCATTGATCCCATTATTGATCAAGGTCCCGCCAAGAGAATGAAATTTTGAAGTAGAGAAGCCAACGACTTGTTTTTCCCATTTTAATAGAGCATTAGAACTTTTTAGACTTGTATTAGCAGCTAGCTGAGGAAAGGGAATTTCTAAGGTCATGAGAAGGCTGTTGAATTGTTAGTAAATCTCATCCTTGGTAACTAATTTAACTACATATGGTCTCAAGCAATGTCAAACTCAATCATCCAGGCCATAAGCTGCATTCCAGTGTAATTACGTAACACAATGAGATTCGTTTTCCCGAGATGTGGTTTATTCTCCATGTTCCTTATCCTTTTTAGACGTTGAGATATGGGTTAGACAAGTTCCAAGTTGCCTCTAGTTTATAAACTGCAGTCGGTTAACTTGTCTTTGTCATTTGCCAATGTTAGTTCAGAGTCACAGTTGCCAAGGCTCATCTGGTGGTGAATTTCTTTATTCCCACTGTTTTTTAATTCTTTTAAGTGTGGAAATCATCTAAGAAATATGGGAATCTTTGTTTTTTATTAAGCCTAAAGTTTTGCGAAGTTCAGGTAACGGGGCGGTTGCTAAAACTTTGCCACACTGGCATAGAAAGCATTAGGGGATCTAACCGCCCTTTCTGCTCATGGGACTGAAGAAGACTTGGGCAAACTTGACGTTTATCATATTCATGATGGTGAATGGAGACATTTCCACATATGGCCACCAACGACATAATGAAGACAATTCCTTCCAAGCCTGCTTAGATTTTTTTTTTTTCATGCATTAGGGGGGCTTTCTTAAAGGTTATCGCATAAATTGGTTGTTTGAAACAAAGATTGCCAATTTGTACAATCGGACAATCGAGCTTTCCTACCCACAGCATTGCTTAACAACTGAAGTGCTTTGCTGAGGTTTTGTATTCGGTGGTTAAGCAGTTTGCTTCATTGCATTCTTAAGATGATTAAGGAAGATATTATAAGTTTATTGAGTTTATCCCAAAGAGAAGATTGATGCAACACAAAAAAAAAAAAAGAAGACATTTTGTGGCTTAAAATATCCACACAAATAGCAAAAGGATTAGAAGGAGCAGCAGCAAGTTTCTTCATTTTGTGGCATAAGATATCTTATGCCGCATGATTGATGAACCAATCAGATTCTTTCTTTTAAAAACGATGCGTGGCTAACTCGCTCTATCACAACCCAAACGCTATTGCTTCCAGAAGCGGACACTGCAGCCGCTCAACTTGGCTGGGGCTGGCAGCAGATATTTTGCGACAGTTCCTTGTCCCACTCTTAAAACAAAATTGACAAAGCTTGAAAACAAGTGCCACTGTTAAATCATGTCATACCAACCAACTTGTCTCTTATGGACAAGGGAACGTTAATCTATTGACGATCAAGATATGTAATATTATCTGAAGTTTGCTGGCATAAGATTAACAAAATTTTGTGGGTGATGTGGCTCGTTTTGGATCATCGGTGATGTTGTGTTGGAAAATGTGCAATGGACAATACCTTGTTACCGGGTAATAATATACATTATCTTGCATGTATTTTATCAACATTTTAGAATGTGTTGTGTTACGCGAAAGAAATTGACATTGTATGTTAGTATAAGCTTTTCTATCATGACAGTTATTATGATGCTCTTATACGTTGTATTTTTCATGCTGCCAACCTGCTTAATGTTTGCTTATGAGTACAGCTTAGTTCTATGAAGTTCAAATATATAATTAGTCCATGTGCTATTAAAGCGAGGGATTTAATGTCTATATAATAATTTATAAAATTTAAACTTTTGCATTTTTAAAAATTAACAACATCAATTTAATGTATTAAATTTTTATTATTATTTATATTGATATGGAGTTTAGTTCTATCGATATGACATTTTTTTACTGATATAACATTGAATTTGATAATATGACAATGATAATATAATATTTCACGAATAATATAATAACAGTGCAATAGGACATGACCAAGCAATGATATGATTTTTATAATTATATACGTGAGATTATTAGATTTACTAATGATTTTAAATGAGATTGGAACATAAATAGATGAAAAACCTTCAAAAAAAGTTAAAGTAGTGAAAAGAATGTTATAAAATAAAGAAAAAATACTATATCATTATTAACATATTATCATATTCAAAGTTACATCAATAATAAAATACTATGTTATTATAAATAATAGGAAAAAATTTAACATTGTTAACAATTAGATTGACATTGCTAATTTTAAAAAGTATAAGAATTTAACTTTTACAAATTATTGTATAAAAATTAAATCCACTACTTTACCATCATATTGGCACTAATTGTATAATTTAATATTCTATAAATTGTAATCAAGAGTAATAATTTTTTATAAATAATGTTAATTTTTTGTGAATTTTGATAAATTTTTATAACAAATTTATATCAAAATTAACTTAAATTCAGAATTAATTATTCAAAAAAGGAAAGAAAATCTTCTTTTTCTATTATTCTCTTTCAATTAAACTCTTTTTTCTTTTAGAATTTAAAAAGAGAAAATTTCTGAATTTACTGTTTAAATAAAATAATAAAAAATAAAATTCACATTATAGTCAATCCTTATCCCTTTTTCTTGGATAAAAACTTATCAATAATAAGTAATCAATAATCAAATTAACATAAAACAAACAAGGCTTTTCCATTCTAAACTCTTTTTTAAGTCGTAAGACCATGTGTTTTGAAAGCTCAAAATAACCCGCGAGAATTATGTGTACGTTCCAAGTACATTCATACGGAGCTGTTCAGCCAATACAAAATCTAATGACGCATAAACGCGAGTGCCTGTGTGACACACGTGTCAAACTCCCCGTACTCTCAGGCATAGGTGTAAGGCAAGCGGATTGCCACGTCCTAGTTCCTACCGTCTGAGTTTTGTGATGAAGCTTTTGTAGCATATGCAAAACAGCAGCTGCCTAATAACAACAAAGGAGTTTTGGAGAGTCACAGTCCATGACTGGGTGCCACGTCAAGTGGAGCCACGATGTAGACCAGGTGATGTGCAGAAAAAATTGTGGTGTCGAACGCAAAGCTGACTCAGTCATGACAAAAAGAGGATTTTGATCGTAAAATAATCATCCGGATAGAAACGAAAACTGAAAAAGGGGTAAAAGAAAAACCAGCTAGTCCCCGTCCCCGTCATGCTTTTAAGTCTCTATCTCTCTCTTTTGCCTGTTGCCAACTTGCACCAGCTTCTTTCTTTCACTTGTTGTAAAACAATTATTTTATTCAAAGAAAATTAATGCTTTATATCATATAAGGAATAAAAGTTTAGATTTTCAGGGAAGGACAAAGGATCTGGGAATTCTCAGGGAAGGACTTCTTCCGGCTAATTATAAATACCAACTTTTTGCTTGACCTAATGCGCAACCAACCACTCAATTTCTATATCACTAGATTTCTTGCTTAAAATCTGTTGTTTTTCTTGGGTTCTGTTGAGTCTTGAGCTTCTGTTTTGATTCAGGATGACTATCCTCATTGATCAACCTGAGTTTGGTAATTATTTATGATCTCTACTCTTTTATCCCGAAAAAAATTCATTGTTCAATGTGGTTTTGCTATTTTATATGTTTTTGCATCAAAGGGTAAATCTTTTTTTCATTCACTAATAGAGGATTATGTTACAGTACTTTTTCTAGTTCATAAATTTTGAAAAAAAAAAAACTCTCTTTTACTAGGATTTTGCTGATATCGGTTGATCTCAACTTATATCATTATTTTTTTATCATTTATTTATTGAATTTGCAGATTTGTAAACTTCTTCTTAGGGTTGTCTGTGTAATCAGAAATAACTAATGATTGAGCTTCAAGAATTAATGATGACCCTTAATTTAATTGCATGGAATATTTTCGTAATTTTGGTTTTGTATATCAGGAGTTGAAGCAGGGTTTAACAAAGTCGATAATGTTGAGAAAGGAATGGTGTTGGATGGGGGATTTACGGTGCCACAGACCAACTCTTTTGGCCATACTTTTAGGTAGCTTTTTTTTTATTATTATTTTTGCTTGACTGCACATTATGTTATTTTGGGAAGAAAAGGAGGAAATTAAAGGGAAACAGATATGCAACAACTTTATTTGTTTGACCCCGGATGGATAACAATACCAATATATGGACAACAGAAACTGTACATGCGCCACAGGTTTATCAGATGTGACAAAGGACCATCTCTTTTTTATGATATGCATACTGTTTATAGTTTGATGATGAGAACAATTTTCTTGTTAAAAACAACTTGAAATTGAATATGAAGTAGGGTTTATGAACCTTTAGTTTTGAGTTAATTCACGACTAATGGATGCTTCTGAACAGAAATTGCAGTTATATTTGTGTTTCTGAAGTATCTCTAATTAATGTACCAGTTCCCTCTTTCCAGAAATTTTGGTCAGAGCTGTAAAACATGGATCTACTTTTGTTGATAGTTAAGTTGGGAGAGATATAACACAAATGTGTTGTATTCATACTGATATATCTTGAAGAGTTTATCCTTGGCGAGGCATAGTAATTTTATCAGAGGTTGAGGCCTATATAATTGTTTTGATCTTAGGCCTTATTAAGATCTGAGCCGATTGGACCCCTTGTCCATTTATAAGCTCAAAACCTGCCCATCATTTGCTAAGCCCTAAAATGCACCGAGAAGACCTACCCTTTACTTTTCTTTTTCTCGCATGTTTTAAACTGGTTATTATTGATATGCACACAGAGATTATCATGTTGAAAGTGAGAGGCAACAGGGTGTAGAGAACTTCTACCAGACCAATCATATTAACCAGACTTACGACTTTGTAAGCAACTTGTGCTTCTATGTGCTCAATCACTTTATTTTCCTGATACGATCCATGCTACATATTTGTGCATTGCAAGTTAATGGACTCGTATATTCACTCAATTTCAGGTCAAGAGAATGAGAGAAGACTATGGAAAACTTAACAAGGTGGAAATGGGCATATGGGAATGCTGTGAACTTCTTAATGATGTAGTTGATGAGAGTGACCCTGACTTGGATGAGCCTCAGGTCGAACACTTGCTGCAAACAGCTGAGGCCATCAGAAAGGACTATCCTGATGAGGACTGGCTGCACCTGGCAGGCCTTGTCCACGGTATAATTGGGACTTTTTATTTCTTTAGATTCTATAATTAAGACTCCTGGTTTCACAATTTGCAAAATTGTATATAACTATATACTCTGTTTCTTTTATGGGGTTTAGACCTTGGAAAGGTGCTTCTCCATCCTAGCTTTGGCGGCCTACCCCAGTGGGCTGTTGTAGGTCAGTCTCATTTTCTGTCTGCGATACTTATATATACCATACTGATAAAAATAAGGATAATGTCATCCCCCAATTAACCATTCCTGGTTCTAAATTCTAATCTTTATCCACGGTGTCATAGGTGACACATATCCTGTTGGTTGTGCTTTTGACAAATCAATTGTTCATCACAAGGTATTTCCTTCCTGATTTTAAACAGCTATATCAAAAAAGAATTAAGCTCACAAACAATTCATTGCTTCGAAATTTTGAATAAGATCTTTTGTATCTTATTTCTGATTCAATTATGTTGTCGGCACAGTATTTTGAGAAAAATCCTGACTTTTATAACTCTGCTTACAACACTAAATATGGAGTGTACTCTGAGGGATGTGGACTCAACAATGTGATGATGTCATGGGGACATGATGACTACATGTATCTGGTATCTCTCCCAATCTGTGTCTGAAATCACAATGCCTTCATGATACCTTTTTAGCATCTAAAAATTACAATGATGCCAACTAATTTTGGAATCTCTATCAGGTCGCCAAAGAGAACAATACAACACTGCCGCCAGCAGCTCTTTTCATTATTAGATACCATTCATTCTATGGTAAGAGGAACAAAAAGAGGCTCCACTTTTACTTTTCCTCTTCTGTGAAGACTGATTCGCATTCCTATACTGATATTTACTGAGGTACTCTTTTTTGCAGCATTGCATAGGTCAGAAGCATACAAGCACCTAATGAGTGGGGAGGATGTTGAGAATTTGAAGTGGCTTCAAATATTCAAGTATGACTTCGCTTGCTTTTAATCTGGAGTCTAGTCCAAGTGCTGGACAGATTAAATTTTTGCTTACACTGATCCGTATCCAGTTCTAAACTCTCTTTCTCCACTTACAATTGTGCAGCAAATACGATCTTTACAGCAAGAGCAAAGTCCGGATTGATGTGGAAACGGTCAAGCCGTACTACCTCTCCCTCATTGAAAAGGTCAGCACAACTTGAGCTTTGCTCAGGTCCTAATCCTTGTCATGTCCTGCACAATTTGTTGTTAACATCATTCAATTTTCTGCAGTACTTCCCAGCAAAGTTAAGATGGTGAATCCTGGCTCTCTCTGACTCACCAGTTTTATAACTCAGCGTCAGCATGGAGGGATGAAGATGGTCAGTAGCTAGCTAGTTCTTATATAAATAGTTCATTTGATGACTTTTCTGAGACGTTGTCGCTGTTGTATTTATATTTCTCAGATTTTAGGACCCTGTATAAGAAATAATGTTGCAGTTTTGGTTTCAGAATTTATCTATTGCCTTGTAATAAAAGCTATGCTAGTTGTTCACAACAACCCCCTCCTAAGTCAGTCTTGTTGTTCCCCATCTAAATAATTAGATTAATGAGATTATCATACCAGAGTAAAAGAATTGTAATTAAGCCATTATTTTAGTACTTTTTGTCCAATCAAAGTCCAAAATACATTAAAAATGTTAATATGAATGAAATATTAATATGTTAAGATTTATAAAAGAGTTACTTCAACGAGACTGGAATTGCTCTATTATTCATGTTTTTCGTAAAACCAACATATATATATCGAATAGTAACGAATCATGATGCACTTTCTCTAAGTTTATACATTTTTTATGTTTCTTTTTTTTATTATTATTTCTAGTTTATTTACACACAAAATAAGTATATCATGATTTAAGATGATGTAATTGTTTTGATTTTTCATTTTTGATTAATATCTATTTCTTCTATTATTAAAAAAAATACATATAGATAGCATTTCAATTGTTTATCAACTTTAAATAAAAACTTAAAACCAATTAAATTAGTAATGACAACATAATATTAAAGGAAATAAAACCAAAACTTGAAAGATCCTTGGGTTTCTTATCACCTTTGCTAAAACCAATTTCTTGAACTTGAAAGAACAAAAATTATAAGTAAAAATCAATGTGAATTCAGAACAATTTAATCTAGACCAGGTTACCCAATTGTGGGTGAGCAGGGTAGGAAATTTTTGTGAAGGAAGTCCTTATTACTAGCCACGTATGGTCTACTAATGCAAGTCTATATCAATTTAAAAAAGAAAAAGGAAAAAGAAAATCCTAAGCCGATGGCCACTTGGCCAACCTGCTGAGGAAGTTAATAGCAGCTGGTCAAATACGACACCGACTTAAGACCCTTTGTTCTCTTCTCAAGTCAACCTGTGTTGTTAATCTATCACAAATAATAAAGAAACGGTGCAACAATTTTTTAAAGGTGGAATCTGATAAAGAGGAGGGATAAATCTGATTTATTTTATTTCACATTTATTGCTAAAGTCGAAGAATACTTAGTTATCCCTACTGTATCACCAGTCGCCACTCGTTTCAGCTTTACTTTCTTCAATATTTTTTCCCTCTCTCCATGTCAATTTTTCCCATTGATCATCATCCATTATTATTTTATCGTTCCTTTTCTCTCCCTTTGGCCTGAAGTAGTTAAAAAAATAGAAAATATATCGAATATTGACGAATAGCATCTGACCCAAAATTTTGTAAATTAGGCTAATATTTAGTCTTCAATGAATGTGTAAGGAAAACGTGGGAATTTCTGACTTGTGGAAATTTGGCGGAAGAAAATCAAAGAAAGAAAGAGTCAAGTTTGAATATTGGGTGAAACCAAAATATTGAGTGGAAAATTGCAATAAATTAACAGAATATATGAAATAAGGGTGCATGTTGCAGATGTTCATATCCATCTTAGACTTTAAGAACTCTATAAATATGCTTCACTTACTACCTCAAATTCAGATCATCAAATCTGATACATTATAAACTTATTGGCAATGGCAGGGGAGTACCCGAGGTCTTCTCTGATAACCTTTGTTATTTTTTCTCTAGTTTTATCTCCCATGTTACCCTGTGAAGCAGTTCGATTAATTGGTCATTCAGGTAAACCTGTAAACCACTAGATTTCATATTAATTCCTGACCCATTGCGAGCAATTTGTTTTAGATCTTTGATTTTAATCTTGATGTTCACAGATGTTGCAGCCCCAATTCGGAAACCTATATGTCCTGCTTGTGTATGTTGCACGGATCCACCACCAGGTCACTGTTGTCGCTGTTGCACTTCTTCTATTGGATCTCAACACTCCCAAATGGGATCTCCCAGTCCCTGAGATAACTGAATTTTAGTTGCTTCAAAGACTCAATTAGTAGCTAATTACGGAAAAGGATGCCCTCTTTTTCAATCTATTTCGTTGTCATTTTCAATGTGCTTGCTTTTTGTTCAATGACCTTGTCATGTCTGGAATAAAATGGTCTTGCTTCAATTAATATATGAATGTGGCCTAAATTTGAGTACGCGGTAGGTAGCTGGGTTCTTGGAAACCCCTTACAGTAGCTTCCTTCTAACTTGCTGTACTACAATTGACATGTACAGCAGAAACAGACGGCGAGTAAATTAAGGGAAAAAGAGTTAAAGTGATGCAGTTCATATTTAAAAAAAAAAATGATTAATTAAGAAGAACAAAGCCACAACAACTCAGCAAAGAGAAGAGATATCATCCAGATTTATCCTTTAGCAGAAAACCTACAAGATCAGCAGGCATATTCTCATACTCTTTGTTCTCTTTCGAAGTCAAATCAAACGAAGCGTCAACGAGTTTTGATAATTTTTATCATCTCTGCCAATTGACAGAGACGACTTTCTAACAAATACTTTGCCGTAGAGATGGGGGTTACTTCTCGGGTCGTCCTGAATTACTCACTCTTGAGTTAAAGAAGTCTTAACGTTTAACGTGACAGAGACAACAATCCTTTCTAGCAAATACCTTACCGTAAAGATGGGGTTACTTCTCGGGTCGTCCTGAATTACTCACTTTTGAGTTAAATAAAAGTCTCAACGTTTGATGTACTCCATATATATCGTCAATACAAGTTTTCTCTGTATCAAGTCGTCGTATATATGCATGTTAATTTTTAGTGCTTTATCTTACTTCGACCAGAAAAGGGAGCGTCAACAATATCTTGTCATGTTGACTCGATGTTACTGTGTCGAATCCATAGCGTTTACACTGTTGAATAACAATCACTGAATTAAGAAATGTTGGATAAATATGTGTAAGTTAAAACCAGAGACGATTGGCGATTTGGTTTGTTGCTTGTGGTCATAATTTGTGCGTCATACCCTTAATTAATTAGCAATAAAGTTACTCGTAAGTGATTTTTATTAAACTACCTTACTCTGGCGTTGCATGAAAAGAAAGAATTTAAATTCTTTTGAATAGAACAAGACAACACATATGGAGGGAGGTCGTGGAAGGAGATAATATTAGGAATATGTACTCTTATATATAACAGGATGACTTTGTTTCTCATTGTTTGTGAATTTATAGACATGGCTATAGTGCTAAGCCTCCTTGATAATAGGATTATATTGTGATCAATTTACAGATTGAATTTACTGCTAATTATAAGTTTTGTTGTGTTATAATTTTTGTTGGACATTTTCAACAATAACAAGTGTCGGATACAATCTTATATTGAAAGAGAAAAAAAAAAGAGTATTTTTCAAATAAAAAGGAGTAAAAAAGTACAAGTGTACAAAAAAATTTCTTATAATGAGAGCGGATAAAACCTGAAAGACAATAACAATGATACAAGCTAATGAGGATTTAGACTTGTTCTTCAAGCAGCCAACGAGGATGCTGATAACTTGGCCGAAGAAGGGGTTCAAAGACCCCAGGTTTTTTTGTGGACCAATCCGGAATATGCACAGGATGTCTGATTGATCTTTTTGGATTGATGTTGATGATGTTTTTTCCCTTTATTTTGGTTGTCTGATGATTGTTCTAGAGGTTCATGGGGAATGTTTTGTTCTGTTTGATGTTTGGTTCACATATGTGCAGGGGCTTCTTGGTTGTGTGGATCATGGCAGCTATGTTTGTGTGTACTGTCCTGGTTTCTTTAGTTGCTGTGATGAATTTTGGGTGGTTGAAGGAGGCAGTGCTTGGGTGGTTGAAGGAGGTTGTGCTTACCTCCAAGGTTGTTTTTCTTTTAAGGTATACCAGTGGAGGGTTGCTACTGCAGTGGATTTTGTTTACTTCAGCTTTTGTAAAGAATGGGATGCCCCTCCCCAGACCATGTTTATAAGGAATTGTGAATAAATCATACAGTTTTTCAAAAAAAAAAAAAAACGTTGATATAATCCTTGAAGTCTTTCTCTAATATTTCTATCTTGTGAAGTTTCTGCTTAACTGCACCAGTTTCAGTCTTGATTTAGCAGCCAATTTTAAGCTTTAAAGCTGGTTTGTTTTCCTTTAATGCTTAGCTTTATCTGTAGTTCTTCATATTTAAGTGTGGATCTATATCTAATTGTATAATTTACTGAGCTTTATCTGTTTTTCTTTTTGCTAATCTTAATCTGTTGTTCTTAAGCCTATCAACTTCTGGATTCTGATAATCTGACTTGGTCAAGTGCTGATCTGCATTCAGATAGCTTAACTGTCCAATAATAATATCCAAATTAATCATGTATGGCAACCTTATATATACTCTTCCATTTTCTCCTTTTATATTTTATTTTTTACATTGTTTCGGTTAATTGGAAAATGACAAAAGAATCGGGCTTAGGAAAATAAGGATAATATCTAGATATAAGTATTATTTTTGTACTAATAAAATTTTTTGTAATGTCTATTAAAATTATAGTATTGTATTTTCAGTTATAGAATCAAAAGGCATAGTAATGTGAATATTTTAATTTTTATTTGTTCAATGACGGGAATATTTAGATAGTACATTCAAACATATAGTTAACACGGTGTAATTTGGATACTTAAATTTATCTCATTTATTGTCTATTTGAAGTTGAATAAGGAGTCGGTATTTAGAACTTCGTTTAACCACTCCTATTTAGTATAACAGTTGTTTTCTTTCTTGAGGATAAGATGTAAGATTTTCATGAATTCTCCTTCTTCCTTTAGATTTCCTTCCATGACAACAAATAATAATAATAAAAATAATAATAATAATAATTTTTGTTTGACTAGATTATGACGAGTTTTCATTTTAAAAAAACTTTTGATTCTCGGAAGTCTCAATTTATTTATCTTTACATCAAATCAATTAATAAATATGCATTTTTAATTAATTTTACTTGCATACAGCTTAATTATCATTTTTATAAATTACAACGAAAAAACAAATGAAAGTAAACATTAAGAATTAAAATGAAGATGTTGAAATCTAATATAATTAATTAGTAATTTAGTCTGCTTTTGAGTATTTAACATGCATTATCTCAAATCAAATAAAAAATAGAGACTATTGTTACTATATTCATGTATAACATTTATTCATATATCTATATAGATAATATGTATACAAACTTGAGATAGAGTGGAATGTTATTCTCTTGATTTTGGGTTGATATATATTC